AAAATAAATAAAATCCCTGAACATTTTTCTATTACACACCTAAAGTGCTTTTTAATTCTGTTAAACCGTGAGAAAAAAAAATTAAGGTTGGAAAAAAAAAAAAAAAAGAAAAAAAAAATCGGAATTATTTTTCTTTTAGACTGTTGTTTTCTTAGGGAACTTAAGGAAAGTTCTGCCAAGACCAAATTTCTCCTTGGAAGATGTTTGTGCTGCAGGAGAGCAAATCCACCCGGTGCACGTCGTGGAGATGAGTGGTGAGGAAAAGGAATTATTGGGGTGTTTCATGGGGTTTGCAGACAACACAGCCTTTCTGTGGGGTTTAAAACACAAATAATGAGAAATATCCGGGTTTATTCCTGAGAAAAATGTAAGTTTAGCACTCCACATCAAATTTATCCTGCTCAGTCCCAGAATATTCATTTGAAATTTGAGTATTTCCAAAGGAAAATTGTGAATTTCCAATGGAGATTTGTGAATTTCAAATGAAAATTTGTGAATTTCCAAAGGAAAATTGTGAATTTCCGATGGAGATTTGTGAATTTCAAATGAAAATTTGTGGATTCCTAAAGGAAATTTGTGAATTTCCAATGGAGATTTGTGAATTTCAAATGAAAATTTGTGGATTTCTAAAGGAAATTTGTGAATTTCCAATGGAGATTTGTGAATTTCAAATGAAAATTTGTGGATTTCTAAAGGAAATTTATGTATTTCCAATGGAAATTTGAGTATTTCCAAAGGAAATTTGTGTCTTTCCAATGGAAATTTGTGTATTTCCAGTAGTACAGGAAAAATATTCAGGGCCTTCCCTCCTAAATTACAATAAACAGAGCTGGAATCCCTTCTCAGCTCCTTTACCTGCATTGATTTTAATTAAGATTTTAATGTATTTATTTTTAGTTTATTTTTAATGTATATATTTTACCAAGTCAAATTTAAAGGAGTTAATTTTTTTTCCCCTCAGAATTGCAGATCCAGGCCAAAAGCTCAACTTGCACAGCCAGAAAATTGAATCCCAACATCAGGAAAAACTCATTTCCCCCTGTGCAGGTTCATTGACTTCAACCGAGTTGCTGGATCCAAAAAAACCTAAGTGTTTTGATTTAAAAATGTCAATTTTAATTAAAATTTTATTTTTAAAAGTTCAATATTTTCAAATTGGCCCTAGAATGAGAAGAAGGCGCTAAAAATGCTCCCATTTGGGTTTAGAGCTTTGGGGCTTTGCTGAGCAGATATTCTGGAAGGAAAAGCAAAATTCAGAGCAAAATTCATGGTGAAAACGAGAAAATATTGATTTTTTTTGGTACCACTCCAGGGGAAGGATTTTTAGGGGTTTATAACCCCGACCCTCAGTTAATTCACGACCTCCTGGTGCAGGATGAGGCTGCAGCAGCTCGGGAAACGAACCCTCCCTCAGCAGCAGCTCCAGGTGAGTTCAGCAAAGCTCCGCAGTTTGGGGTCAACAAAAACATTTCAAAATTCATTAATTTTTTTATTTTGTCAGGAGCACACCGCCCCTACCCTGCCCTGCAGGGACAGCACCTAATTACCCCAGAAAATGCCCAAAAAAGCAGAATTCAGTGTATCCATGCTGCTCCTGAGGCCCTGCTGGGGCTTTCTCTACATTCCACACTTTGCGCAGAGCCAAATTACAAACAATTTAATTTCAATTGTATTTAATATACATAAAATTAAAGTTACATATATAATATAATATAGATCTAAATATTATTCATATCTATAAATGATATAAATATATATATTTATATATTATTACATATAAAATTAAATGTACACATATTTAATGTTTAAACACAGCTTTTTAATATATATACAGTTATATAGTGATATATACATATATGACTTATTTATTTCTTTTCAAGTATTTAGAAATATCTATTTTAAAATTTTATATATTCTATTTTTATATCTTAAAAATATTTATATTTTTATATATAATATATAAAAATTAAATATTATTATTGTGTATAAAATTAAATTTACATATATATTTATAGGGGGCTTTACTATATAGTTATATTGTTATATATATTATTTATTTATTAAATAAATAAAATAAAATCTATTTATAAATAAATATAAATATATATATTCGTATTTATTTATTTCTAAGTATTTAGAAATCTATATTTTTGAATTTTATATTTTTATTTTAATATTTTAAAAATGTATGTATTATATATATTTATTTCTATATTTTAATTATAAATAGATATTTCTTTATTCATTGATTAACCCATTTACGAAAATAAAAAGGGGTTTCTGTGTGCTGAGGCTGCTCTGTGCTCTCCCAGATGCCCCTGGCCCCGAGGAGTGCCGGGATCAGTTTTATTTACTTATTTTATTTTATTTATTTATTTATTTATTTATTTATTTAATAAATATTTATTTATTTCTAAGTATTAATAAATATATATTTTTGAATTTTATATTTTATTTTAATATTTTTAAAAACTAATATTATATAGATATATTTATTTATATATTTAAATTCTAAATAGATATATTTTTATTCATCGATTAACCCCTTTAAGAATACAAAACTGGATTTCTGTGTGCTCTGTGCTCCCGCAGATCCCCCCGGCCCCGCGCAGTGCCGGGAGCGGTCCCGGAGCCCCCCGAACGGCACAGCCCGGCCGCGCTGTGCGGGCACGCTCGGCCCCATCGGCTGCGGCAGCCGCAGCCTCACGCTGCTCTTCCTGTGCACGGCGGAGCACTTCCCGCGCTACGAGCTGTGAGTCAACAGCGCTGTTTGAGACAAAAAACACCAAGGAGCGGCCCCACAGCCCCACAGCCCCACAGCCCCACAGCCACACCGCCCCACAGCCCCGCAGCCCCACCGCCCCACAGCCCCGCAGCCCCACAGCCACACTGCCCCACAGCCCCACAGCCCCACAGCCCACTATACTAAACTATAGAGAAAAGCTACATCAGAAAGTTTAACAATAATGAATAATAAAAACTCGTGACTGACTCAGAGTCTGACACAGCTGGACCATGTCTGGTCATTAACAAAAATCAATCCCATCTTTGATAAACAATCAATTCCCATCTTTGATAAACAATCGATTCCCATCTTTGATAAAGAATCTCCAGAGCAGCAGAACCAGGAGAAGCTGAAGCTCCTCAGATTTCCAGAGGAAATCCTGTGCAAGGGGATTTTCCCAGAAAATATCACAGTGACATTCCAGAATTGAATTCTGGCAGGGAACAGGAAAATTCTCGTTATTAAAAAGAATTCCGTGTATTTTTCACAGAGGGCTGTGCACAGCAGGAACCAGAGTTTAAATCATTAAGAAATTCACTTTTCCTCATTGAAATTGGCAAAATTAAATCTCTTCTTCTGCTCCTGATGTCTTGTGATGCTGTTTCTGACCTAGAACTCTTTTTGCACAGTAAATAAAAATTGTATTTATACATCGAATGGGGAATTGAATTTATACATGGAATCATTAATTGAATTTATACATTAATGGTAAATTAAATTTATACATGGAATAACAAGCTGCATTTATACATGGAATGATGAATTGAAATTATACATGGAATGGGGAATTGAAATGATTCATGGAATAACAAATTGAATTTATATATGGAATAACAAGTTGAATTTATACACAGAATAGTGAATTGAATTTCTACATGGAATAACAAATTAAATCTATACATGTAAAGGTGAATGGAATTTATACATGAATGGTGAATTCAATTTATACATGGAATAAATAACAAGTTGAATTTCTCTATGGAATGGTTTATTCAATTTGTACATGGAATGGTGAATTGAAATTATACATGGAATAACAAGTTGAATTTATTCATGGAATGGTGAATTAAATTTATGCATTTTCACATGGAATAGCACCTCTGAATTTAGAAATCTGCACCTTATTTATGAGTTTAGAAGGAAAAATAATTAAAATAAAACAACGACAAGAAATTTTTTGTATTTCCCCTCCTAGAAACAACCTGTACAACACAAACGCTGAATTTGACTGGGGAGATTTCCGGAGCCTGAGGGAGGAAATGAGGGAAATTCCCAGAAATTCCCAGAAACTTTTCCTGTTCCTTTTCCACTTCCAGGCCCCCGGCACCTACGTGCTCCAGCTGAGCAGCAACAAGCACAAGAGAATGGTTGGTACCCAGAAAATCCTTCTTTTTATTTAGAATTTCCCCAAAATCCTTCTTTTTGTTTAGAATTTCCTCAAAATCTTTCGTTTTTTATTTATATTTTCCCCAAAATTACCAATTACACTTATAATTTATACAATTATATATAAAATTATAATGCATGAAAAGCGTTTCTTGCTCCTGGCGAAAGTTTGGAAATGCAGGAAGATATAAGAAATAACAGCGAGCATCTTTTCATAGCACAGAGATAAATGTCAGGGGGACACGGGGTAATTCCTGGAAAGTGGACTGTGTAAGTGCAAAAATGGAATAATTCCAAATTTAAATAATGATAAATCTGGACTCGTTGTGGTGCAGTACCTGAGGGTGATGCCAGCGGGGGGACACAAAACCCTGACTGGCTTTCTGCCTTTGTACCCAGAAAATCTTAATTTTTTATTAATAATTTGCCTCTTGGAGAAGAATTTCATACTCCAGGTGAAAGTTTGGAAATGCAGAAAGATATAACAGTGAGAATATTTTTGATCTGGACTCGTTGTGGTGCAGTACCTGAGGGTGATGCCAGCGGGGGGACACAAAACCCTAACTGGCTTTCTGCATTTGCACCCAGAAAATCTTAATTTTTTATTCATAATTTTCCCCTTGGAGAAGAATTTCATTCTCCCAGTGAAAGTTTGGAAATGCAGGAAGATATAAGAAATAACAGCGAGCATCTTTTTATAGCACAGAGATAAATGTCAGGGGGCACGGGGCAATCCCTGCAGACTGGATGTGTAAGTGCCAAAATGGAATAATTCCAATGTCAGTAATTCCAAATCTGAACCTGTTGCCTGCAGTACGTGCGGGTGATGCCCGCGGGGGCCCGGTGCCACCCGGAGGGTCCCTTCGTGCCCAGCACGCCCAGGGGGGCACTGCAGCTGGGGCTGGCCGGGCACACGGAGCTGCCGCTGCGCCCCGACCGGGCCGCGCTGGCCGGGCTGAGCTGCGCGCTGCTGCTGCTGCTGCTGCTGCTGGCTGCCCTGGCCGTGAGTAACGTTAATTGTACTAATTGATTTGATTTTATTTTAATTAATCCTCATTTTTTAGGGGGTATTATACAGTTTTACACAACTCACAATTTGTCAGTTCCGAATTTTTTAAAAATATAATATATATTATCTATGAGCACTGCGCTGCTGCTGCTGCTGGCTGCCCTGGCCCTGGCCGTGAGTAACGTTAATTGTATTAATTGATTTTGTTTTATTTGTAATTAATCCTAATTTTTAGAGAATATTATACAGTTTTACACAGCTCACAGTTTGTCAGTTCCGAATTTTTAAAAAATATAATATATATTATCTATGAGCTCTGCGCTGCTGCTGCTGCTGGCTGCCCTGGCCGTGAGTAACGTTAATTGTAATTGCACTAATTGATTTGATTTTATTTTAATTAATCCTCATTTTTTAGGGGGTATTATACAGTTTTACACAACTCACAATTTGTCAGTTCCGAATTTTTTAAAAATATAATATATATTATCTATGAGCACTGCGCTGCTGCTGCTGCTGGCTGCCCTGGCCCTGGCCGTGAGTAAAGTTAATTTCATTTTAAATTTTATTTTATTTTGAATTAATCCCAATTTTTTAGAGAGCGTTATATAATTTTACACAACTCACAGTTTGTCCGTTCCTAATTTTAAAGAAGATTTTCTATATTATCTGTGAGCTCTGCACTGCTGCTGCTGGCTGCCCTGGCTCTGGCCGTCAGTAAAATTAATTGTATTAATTAATTTTATTTTATTTTTAATTAATCTTAATTTTTAGAGGGTATTATACAGTTTTACACACCTCACAATCTGTCCCTTCCTAATTTTTAAAGAAGATTTTCTATATTATCTATGAGCTCTGCGCTGCTCTGCTGGCTGCCCTGGCCCTGGCCGTGAGTAAAATTAATCCCAATTTTTAATTGAGTATTGTGAGATTTTACACTACGAACTCACAGTTTGTCTGTTCCTAATTTAAAAAAATATTATATATTACATACTATATATGATGTTATCTATGAGCTCTGCCCTGCTGCTGCTGCTGCTGGCTGCCCTGGCCCTGGCCGTGAGTAACGTTAATTGTACTAATTGATTTGATTTTATTTTAATTAATCCTCATTTTTTAGGGGGTATTATACAGTTTTACACAACTCACAATTTGTCAGTTCCGAATTTTTTAAAAATATAATATATATTATCTATGAGCACTGCACTGCTGCTGCTGCTGGCTGCCCTGGCCCTGGCCGTGAGTAACGTTAATTGTACTAATTGATTTGATTTTATTTTAATTAATCCTCATTTTTTAGGGGGTATTATACAGTTTTACACAACTCACAATTTGTCAGTTCCGAATTTTTTAAAAATATAATATATATTATCTATGAGCACTGCACTGCTGCTGCTGCTGGCTGCCCTGGCCCTGGCCGTGAGTAACGTTAATTGTATTAATTGATTTTGTTTTATTTGTAATTAATCCTAATTTTTAGAGAATATTATACAGTTTTACACAGCTCACAGTTTGTCATTTCCGAATTTTTTAAAAATATAATATATAGTAGGTATGAGCACTGCGCTGCTGCTGCTGCTGGCTGCCCTGGCCCTGGCCGTGAGTAAAGTTAATTTCATTTTAAATTTTATTTTATTTTGAATTAATCCCAATTTTTTAGAGAGCGTTATATAATTTTACACAACTCACAGTTTGTCCGTTCCTAATTTTAAAGAAGATTTTCTATATTATCTGTGAGCTCTGCACTGCTGCTGCTGGCTGCCCTGGCTCTGGCCGTCAGTAAAATTAATTGTATTAATTAATTTTATTTTATTTTTAATTAATCTTAATTTTTAGAGGGTATTATACAGTTTTACACACCTCACAATCTGTCCCTTCCTAATTTTTAAAGAAGATTTTCTATATTATCTATGAGCTCTGCGCTGCTCTGCTGGCTGCCCTGGCTCTGGCCGTGAGTAAAATTAATCCCAATTTTTAATTGAGTATTGTGAGATTTTACACTACGAACTCACAGTTTGTCTGTTCCTAATTTAAAAAAATATTATATATTACATACTATATATGATGTTATCTATGAGCTCTGCCCTGCTGCTGCTGCTGCTGGCTGCCCTGGCCCTGGCCGTGAGTAACATTAATTGTATTAATTGATTTGATTTTATTTTTAATGAATCCCAATTTTTTAGAGAGTGTTATATAATTTTACACAACTCACAATCTGTCCCTTCCTAATTTTGAAGAAGATTTTCTATATTATCTGTGAGCTCTGCCCTGCTGCTGCTGCTGCTGGCTGCTTCCCTGGCCTTGGCCGTGAGCAAAATTAATTGTATTAATTGATTTTATTTTATTTTGAATTAATCCAAATTTTTAGAGAATATTCTACAGTTTTACACAGCTCACAGTTTGTCAGTTCTGAATTTTTAAAAAATATAATATATATTATCTATGAGCTCTGCAATGCTACTGCTGCTGCTGGCTGCTTCCCTGGCTCTGGCAGTGAGTGAAATTAATTTCATTTTAAATTTTATTTTATTTTTAATTAATCCCAATTTTTAGAGGGTATTATACGGTTTTACACAACTCACAAATTGTCTGTTCCTAATTTTAAAAAATATAATATCTATTATCTATGAGCTCTGCAATGCTGCTGCTGGCTGCCCTGGCCCTGGCCGTGAGTGAAATTAATCCCAATTTTTAACTGAGTATTATTTTAAGTATTAACTGAGTATTATGAGATTTTACACAATGAACTCACAGTTTGTTTGTTCCTAATTAAAAAATATATATTATATATTATATATTATATTATTATCTCTGCACTTTTCCCACTGCTGGCTGTCTCCCTGGCACTGGCAGTAAATAAATTTAATCCCAATTTTTTAGAATATTTTAAGATTTTTCACGATGAACTCACGGTTTTTCCATTCCAAAACACTTCTGACCTCATTGGGATTTTTTTTCCTGCAGCCTCCTGAGGTCATGACAGAAAATGTGATTTATTCACCCAGCAGATGCAAGAACAGATCATTGCACTTCCTTCCCTTGCTTTCAGCTGGGATCACTAATTCTGCAGGTTTAGAAGAAATTATTAATTAGCAATAATTAGAAACCAGCCTCTCAGGGTGATGATGGATGATATTGGTGAGCAAATCACATGAAGGGGAGATATAAACACAAAAAAAGGGAATTATGTGAAGAACTTTGTGACCTTTATTTTGAATTTTGGTGAATTTTAGTTTGAATTGTATGACTTGTAGTATGAATTTTGTGCATTTTATTTGGAATTTTACAAATTTTATTTCTAATTCTGTGCATTTAATTTGGAATTTTATGAATTTCATTTCGAATTTTACGAATTTTATTCCGAATTTTGTGCATTTTATTTGGAATTTTACGAATTTCATTTTGAATTTTGTGCATTTTATTTCGAATTGTCCTAATTTTATTTTGAATTTTTTAAATTTTATTTCGAATTTTGTGCATTTTATTTGGAATTTTACGAATTTTATTTTGAATTTTACTAATTTTATTTCGAATTTTGTGCATTTTATTTCGAATTTTACTAATTATATTTCGAATTTTACTAATTTTATTTTGAATTTTGCGAGTTTTATTTCGATTTTTATGCATTTTATTTGGAATTTTACGAATTTTATTTCCAATTTTACTAATTTTATTTCGAATTTTACTAATTTTATTTTGAATTTTTTAAATTTTATTTCGAATTTTGTGCATTTTATTTGGAATTTTACGAATTTTATTTCCAATTTTACGAATTTTATTTCGAATTTTACTAATTTTATTTTGAATTTTGCGAGTTTTATTTCGATTTTTATGCATTTTATTTGGAATTTTACGAATTTTATTTCCAATTTTTGTGACTTTTGAGCCCTGTGAGTTTCACTCGGAGTTTTGTGCGTTTGAGTTTGGGTTTGGGGAGTGTGAATTTGGATTTTTGCAGCTGTGCCGGGGTCTGGGCTGGGCTCCCAGGGGCGGCCCCAGCCCCGCGTTCCGGAGGCGGCAGCTCCGCTCCAGCCTGGACGGATTTTCCTCCGAAATTCCAGAGGTTTTTTCCGTGAAAAAAGTTCATCCCTCGCTGCAGCACCGGGCTGGGCAACCCTGCAGCGCGGCTGGGGCAGGTCAGGCAACAAAAAACACCTAAAAAAAACCCTTTAAAAAGCCCCAAAACCACAAAAAAAAAACCCTAAAAAACAAAAAAAAAAAAACTCCTAAAAACAAAAAAAACTCCTAAAACCCTAAAAAATTCTAAAACCCAAAAATCATAAAACCTAAAAACTCTAAAAACCCTAAAAATCCTAAACCCCAAAAAAACCCTAAAACCCAAGAGCCTAAAAAAGAAAAAAAAAAATCCTAAAAAAATTCTAAAAATCCAACAAACACCCTAAAACCCCAAAAAAACCCTAAAAAAAAAAAAAACAAACTAAAAGCCCTAAAACCAAAAAAAACCTAAAAACCCAAAAAATCCTAAAAACCTAAAAAAAATTCTAAAAATCCAACAAACACTCTAAAACCCCCAAAAAACCCTAAAAAAAAAAAACTAAAAGCCCTAAAACAAAAAAAAAAGCCTAAAAACCCAAAAAATCTTAAAAACCTAAAAAAAATTCTAAAAATCCAACAAACACCAAAAATCCCAAAAAACCCTAAAAACCTAAAAAAAACCCTAAAACCCCTAAAAATCCTAAACACCCTAAAACCCCTAAAAACAAACAAAAAACCAAAAAACTCTAAAAATCCAAAAAACCTAAAACCCTAAAAACCCCTAAAAAAACCTCAAAAAAATCCTAAAAACTCTAAAATGAAACAAGGGTTTTTAAAATCCACCTCACTGATAACACTTAAATAAACAAGGAGTTTTTAAAATCCCTAAAAGCCCCAAAAAATCTGTGAAACCCCTAAAAACCCCAAAAGAAAAAACCACAAAAAAACTTAAACACTTAAGCATTTCTAATGTCTCTAAAAACCAAAAATAAATCAGAAAACAAAAAAAAAATACAACAACCCAAAAACTCCTAAAACCCCCAAAATCACAAAAAAACCCAAAACCCCAAAAATCAAAATAAAAAACCCCAAAAACCCCAAAACCAGGGAGGTTCTACCAGACCAGAACCCAAATTCCACTCCAGGCTGCTGCAATCAGGGATTTGTGCTCAGAACCAGCCTGGAAGTAACAAGACAGAAACCAAAGGAATAAAATGAATGCCAATTAACGCGATTAATTAACGAATTTCCCGCTTGCAGCCCCTCTCCCCGCCGCGGATCAGCTGGACCTGGACTCCTTCAACACCAAAGTTTTCTTTGAGCTGCTGCTCAGGCACTCCCAGGCCGTCACCACCACCCTGGGCCACTCCAAAGAAGAGGTAAAAATCCTCATTTTCAACAAAAATTCAATTATTCATTAATAATTCAATTTTTTGCTGATGATTTTCGTGTAGAAAAGCCTAAAACTGAGTTATTTTTATTTCTATTCCCTTGTTTCATCAAGCCTTGACTTCAATTTTTGGCTGTTTAGGACACAATAAATAAATCTCATTTTATGAAGCATTATCTAAAAGTGGGAAGAGGAGTTTTGAGTTAAGAAGAGTTTTAAGATAAAATATTTTAATTTTCTTTGAATTTTTTCTCTTGGTACTGAACTGAGAATTTTTAGAAAGTGACTTCAGCTTCCAGCTTCAACTTTTTATCCAAAAAACAAAATAAAAGTGGATTTTTTTACACTGGAGGTTAAGCTGAGAAGAGATGAATAAATGACCTGACGAGTGTAATAAAATTTTTGATTTTTATAGTAAATATCTTAATTTTGCTGCTGAAATCAATAGGAAAACATTTCACAGCCCAAATCTGAGCCCACCTGTGGTGCTCTGGGAAATCCAGGTGAGGTTTTAAAGACAGCAGAGGGAGCTGGAGCACAGCAAGTATTTATAATAAATAATAAATATTAATGTGATTTATTTATTTAATAATAAAGGATCAATAACTAATAATGAATAATAAATTAAAAATCATCATTCCCCAGTCTGAGCCAATCTGCCAGCAATGTTTGCACCAAAAATTGTCCCCAGTTTGGGCTTTGGTACAAAAAGGGAAATTTCACCAAATTATCCCTTCACTCCTAAAATCAGCTTTTTGTTTTATTCATTTATTAACTTTTATTTATTTTTTCCCCTCAGGTGAAAGTTCTGTATCTCAGGGTAATGGATGAAATCTCCCTGCTGGAAAAGCTTTGGCTGAAGGCTCTGAGCATCCCAGGAAAGGGAGAGGAGGAGAGAAAAGAGGGAAAAGAGGAAAAAGAGCAGGTAGAGCTCAGCTCAGCAGGAGTTACAAATGGAATAAATGCAATAAAAGGTGGAATAAATGCAATTTGTGCACGGAATAACAAATTGAAATTACACATGGAATGGTGAATTGAATTTATACATGGAATAAAAAATTGAATTTATACATGGAATAAAAAATTGAATTTATACAGGGAATGGGGAATGAAATTAATACATGGAATAACAAATTAAATATATGCATGGAATGTTGAATTGAAATTACACAAGGAATAAGTTGAATTCACACATGGAATAACAAATCACCTTTATTCATGGGATGGTGAATTTACACATGGAATGGAGAATTGAATTTATACATGGAATAAAAAATTGAATTTATACACGGAATGGGGAATGAAATTAATACATGGAATAACAAATTAAATATATGCATGGAATGTTGAATTGAAATTACACAAGGAATAAGTTGAATTCACACATGGAATAACAAATCACCTTTATTCATGGGATGGTGAATTGAATTTACACATGGAATAAAAAATTGAATTCTCTTCTAGAAATTTTAGGCACAGCCCCATAAAATGTCACTTTTAGTGCAGCAGATATTGAATATTTTACAGGCTGCAAAACAATTTGTCCGTAAACAAGAGGTGACACCCAAAAACTGCAGAGGATCAGAGCAAAATAACAAAGAAAGACATTAAATAGAAGTCAATATTCAGATTATATTTGCAACATTTCTATTGGAGGGTGTGAAAGCTCTGAGAGTTTGGGACAATAACCACTAAAAAAAGGTTTTTAAATTGCTGCAGCGTTTCTTGGCTTTGGGACAATCTGCTGTTCATCCAAAATTTCAGTTTTACGAGAAAAGGCCGGGGATGGCAGGAGGTTGGAGTTTCTAAAATCCCATTTTCGGTGCTCAGCAGAGCCTGTGTGCTGTTCCAGGTGCCTTGCCCTGGGAGCCCCAGGATTTATGGCAGCAGTGAAATCCCAAGTGATCCAGGGGAGTCCATCCCCCAAAAACTGATCCCACTGCTCCAGGCCGTGCTCCAGCTGCTGGAGGAAAACAGAAAAAACAATTTATCACCTCAGAGCCCAGGTAAGGGAGAGAGAAAAGCTCTGCCACTCCCCCTTATTTTATTCTAATATTATTTCAGCTTCAAATCCACGAGATTCTCCTGCAAATCAGATTTTTTGGTCCCATTTTGTTGAAGATCTCCTTGGGCTTAGTGAGCAAATTAAATTGGTGGAGCCCTGAAAGCACCTGTAAGACTCAGTGTTCCTTGTCAGCCCTCACCAAAGTTCAGGTAAATTTTGAAAAATCATTCTTTTTCTTGCCAAAACCACATTTCCCTCCTGTTTTCTTGCCCAGGCTACTCCTCAAGGAGCACTTTGAAAGCCTCTGCTGCTCGCACAGAGGGGTTAAAAAGCGCAGAAAACCAGAAAACCACTCCAGCTTCCACAACAGCCCCCGGCCTGCTCCCCTCACCTGCAGGCAGGAGCACCCAGCTGCAGCAGGAGGTGCAGAAAAGGTGAGAAATTCGTGATATTCCATCATTTTTGCTCATAAAAGCACTTTTTTTGCAAGTTTTTCCCCTCAGGCAGTTTATCTTTGTGGCTCAGGAGGAGATCCCTGATCCTGTGGGGGTGAGGGACTTGGGATTATTTGGGATTTTGGGAAAGCAGAGGCTTTGGCTGTGCTTTCCAGGCTGTTTGTGCACATCTGGCTGCAGTTCCCTCTGGGAGGGGCACAGCTGGAAAGGGCCCTGCTCCCGTGCAGATAAAATTTTAATATTCCCATTTCTTCCCTCCCAATTTCAACTTTTCCCTGGTTTTTTTTTCTAGCCCCGGGGAGGGAACTGCGAGTTCCTTGTCCCCCTCAGAGCTGGAGGAGCAGGTGGATGCTCTGACTGAGGAGCTGCTGCAGATTTTGGAGGATGAAGAGCACTTTTTAAGCAGCAAAGGCAACGAAGATCTGCTCTCCTATTACCTGGAAATAACCAGCTTGGAGAAGGAGAGTTTGGCGAAGCGAATCAATGCTTTGGAGGAGGAAATAGCCCAGGGCAGAAAGTTGTGATGCTCAGAACTCCGCGGTGGGCTCCAGCCCAAGGGAAATCTCCATTTCTGCCTTAATTCCAGAGTTTCTCCTCTCCCTCCCAAAGGCTCATTAAATCAGGAGGGAGAGCAGTGCAGGGATGGAAGTGACAAGATTTTGGCTGCAGGAAATGACATTTTTGGCCACATCCAAGTGCTGAGGAGAAATATTGCTGCAAAATCCCAGAGTCAGGGTTTCCAGGAACAGCAGCAGAATATAGAAGCACTCAATTCCTGGTGTGAAATAAATTATTCTTTAAACTCGTGCATCACTCCACGAGGTGCTCTGCAGCCGAGAGCTGCACTTTTCTGATTTTATGACACAGCAAAAACTGCAGATACACTCACTTGGGTTAATTACATCTGTTTAATTACACTTCAAGTGCAGAAATATTCTTTTCCACCACTGAAGCAACTTCTGAAGTGGCCTCGTTTCAGCTCTGTGCTCCCACCCAGCCAGGAATGCACTGTCCAGGACCATTCCTGCTCCTAAACCTGGGGGGTCAGTCTCTCCTCCTCCCAAATTCCAGAGCCAGACCCCAAAACATGAACCACTCAATGTTTCCCAATCAGTGAAACATCAGCCCAGCCTCCAGTGTTGATAAAAAGCAAGTGAGGGAAGAGCAAAATCACTCAAAACATTTTTTTTTCCCCCCCATCAATACAAAACTGATGGGGGAACAGCAGAATTTAAATATTTTGTGAGTCTCTAAATACCCCAGACGTTTCTGCTGGTGACATTCAGGTCTTGGCTCCTGACACCTTTGCCAGAAGGAAGAAAAGTGTTTTTCAAAGCAGCTTGGGGGTGGTTTTATCTTCCTTCACCTGCTGGTGTTTGCACCAAAAAGCTCCTGAACACCCTTCAAGGCACCACCAGCAGCTGGCTTTGATAAAAAACATCAGCAGATTTATTGATTTATGCATTTCCTTTTTAACTCACAAGCAGAGTCTCACATTACATCTTCAATCTTATGTTAACATCAATTAAAAACACTTAAAATCCCGGAAGAAGAAAAAAAAAAAATCCCCCCCAAATCTCCATAAATACAGAGTCAGAGACAGGGATTGGCAGGAAGTGCTGTTTTTATGAGGTTTTGCAGTGGCAGCCTTCACCCCCTCACAAAATCAGGGCTCCACAGCCCCCGAGGAGCCCCGGCTCTACCTCTTGGTGTTGATCCAGTGGTACCTGTCCACGCGTGGGCCAGCGAAGGTGGCCGTGGGTCTGTAGGTCCTGTAGCCCCTGTGCTGGCCAAAGTGGGAGCCCTCGGCCACGGGCGGCTTCCTGTGCAGGTACTGCCACCAGGGCTGGGGGGGAGCCTTGCAGAAGTCACCAAACTCAGCAGAAAAATGGGGGGGAAAAAGTTAAAATGTGCTGGGGAAGGTGCGGGAGCAGTCAGGCCACCCAAATCCCATCCCAGCCCTTCCTGCTGCCTCCTCCCAAAGCTCACCCCACCCACAGCACCACTGAGGCTGGGAAAAGCCTTCAAGGACAGGCCCAGCTCTGTCCCCAAGGGCCACAGCTCTGAAACCCCCCCAGGGATGGTGACTCCATCAGCACCCCATGGAAACCACTCAATTCTTCATGGACTCAATTCCTCAAAGAGTTCATAAACTTCTCTTAAAACACATGGAGTGCTATAAAGAGAATTAGTTAGCAAGAAATAGGGCCACAACTCCTAAACTTTGTGAAACAAAGCATGGACAAGTTTGACATCTAAAACCAGGCTGTGCACAATTTTATGGGACAGTGACACCACGTGCCAGGGCTGGAAATGCCTTCCAGGGGGGAAATTAAACCTCAACCTCCCTTAGAACAGCTTGAGGCTGTTTCCTCCCATTCTGTCCTTGGAAAAGGAGCCTGATCCTGCCTGCCAGGGCTGGAAAACCCTTCCAGAGGGGAAAATCAAACCTCAACCTCCCCTGGGGCAGCTCAGGGCTGTTTCCTCAAATCCTCTCACTGGGAGAAGAGCCTGACCCTACACACCTAGGCTGGACCCTACACACCTAGGCTGGAAAACCCTTCCAGGAGAGAAATTAATTCTGAACCTCCTCTGGAGCAGCTCAGAGCTGTTTCCTCCCACCCTGTCCCACCTGCCAGGGCTGGAAAACCCTTCCAGGGGAGAAATCAAACTTCAGCCTCTCCTGAAGCAGCTCAGGGCTGTTTCCTCCCATCCTGTCCCTGGGAGAAGGGCCTGACCCCACCTGCCAGCACCTCTCTGGAGGGATTTTGGGGCGAGGAGCCCCTGGCTCACCTGGTAGATGCTGTTGGGGTTGCTGACGGTGGGGATGGCTCTGGGCTCCTTGCTGAAGCTCTCCTCATCCGAGGAGGTGCTGGAGTGATAGTCCAGGGCTGCCCTGCCCACGGCCAGGCTGATCTGCTGGGGCAGCTCGGGGTTCTCCTCGCCGTCGAAGTGTGCCACGGTGAAGGGCCGGCTCCTCTCGCCGTACCTGCAAGGGTGCAGGTGGGTGCTGCTGCTCTCTGCCCCACAAGGGACCAAACCCTCAAGGGTTAATGCTGGGGGAAGCTTTAGGCTGATGGAACACCCGGCACTTGGTGTTTGTCAGCCCCCAGCAATGCCTTCAGTTTGAGTTTTTGTGTTTTCCACGTTCTGTACTGCATTTATAACTCTGAATTTTTATATAAAAGTGTCAGCAGTTCTCCTCACAGCTCAGTCACACAAAACAGTTACAGGTAAAAGAAAAGAAAATAAAAATCCACCTCAGTTCTCTAATCACATATTTACAGGTAAAAAACACAAAACAAAATAAACAATTATTTTCCAGCCCTGAAATCAAGGACACCTCTGCAGCTTCAGCCCAAGAAAGTGCAAACAACAGAATTGTAGGAGAGCAAACTGGGAGGGTGGGACTGCATCACCTGGAGCTGGAAATGGACAATGAACCCAATATGGAAATGGAGAAAAATTTATAAAAATGTGAAAAATCGTGACTTGAGTTCCATCTTGGGTGGAGCCATGGCCAGGCTCCTGTACTGGCCAAGATGTAAAAACCTTTTAATGAATCCCCACTTTATTGCTTTAGCTCTGGCCACCCTCTGCTCCCCAGGTGTCACAGTCATATTTTCTGGAAAAAATCCCTTTGCCCAGGATTTTTCTCCTGGGAAGCTGAGAAGCCTCGAAGAAAAATGAAACCAGTAATTATCTCATTTGCTTCTCCTGGGCTGTGCTCACGTGGAATGTGTTTGGAGACTGTTTCATTGGCTTTTTGCTGTGAGTTGTTTTGACTTATTGGCCAATCAGGGCTAAGCTGTGTCAGGACTCTGGAGAAAGTAACGAGTTCTCATTATCATCTCTTTAACCTTTTATCTGTATCCTTTAGTAGAGTTGAGTATTTAATATAGTTTAATACATAATATATATTTACATATTATATATATAATATAATAGATAAATATGTATAAAATTATATACTATAGTAAAATATAATATGTATTTAATATATCATTATATATAAGCATATACAAACTATATAATAAATTATATAATATATTACATAAAATATTAAATTATATAATATATTAAATCTTGAAATGTATAATATATTAAAATCTATTCCATATATTTAATATATAATACATAATTTAAATATAGTAACAAAATAATAAATGAGCTTTCTGAGAAGATGAAGTCAGACTCGTCATTCCTGCCTTCCAACACCAACTGCAAGCCAAGGCCAGCTCACCTGCAGCACACCTGGAAGGGATCCACCCACAGCGTCATCTCCTTGGGCAGCCCCAGCAGGTTGAAGTCCACGTCGCTCTCCACACAAGCCCGCTCCAGCAGGGGATCCCGAGCCTGGTGCTTGTTGATCCTGATGCACCTGGGGACAGCAGAGTGCAGTGGGCTGGCCTTTCGCTGCAGCTCTGCAGCTCCTGCTCCCAAAATCGCCATTTATTGTCGTTTTTAAGCTGTTGATGCAGGCTCTGCCTCAGAGCCCCAAGCAGAATTTCAGCCTCACAGCTGATTTAGCAGCTCAAACAGGACTTGGATTTTAGCTCTCATCAACAGCTGACGAGGCAAGTCACTGCTTTGAGTGTTTAAAATAAAACCACCCCAAAAGCTGCTTTAAGACAGCTTGAATTCTGCATCCTGGGAGTCAGGGGCTGCTTGAGACACAGGTCTTAAGATTTCCACCTCAATTCTCTAATAACACATTTACAAGCTAAAAATAAATTTTTAAAAAAATCCACTTCAGTTGTCTAATCCCACATTTACAGGTAAAAAATATTTCCACCTCAATTCTCTAATCCCACATTTAGAGGTAAAAAAAGATTTCCACCTCAACTCTCTAACCACACATCTACAAGCAAAATAAAAAGATTTCCACTTCTGTTTTCTAAACCCATGTTTACAAGTAAAAGAAAAAAAATTCCACCTCAGTTTTCTAATCACACATTTACAGGTGAAAAAAAAAAAGATTCCTGCCTCAGTTTTCCACCTCTAATCACACATTTACAGGTTTAAAAAAAAAAAGTAACTTTCACCAATTAATAATCCTTCCTTCAAGCGTATCCCAGTGGTTCCCTCTGCTTTATTTATTTCACTTCAAGGCCTGCGGGAATTGTCCTGCTGAGCCCCTCTCACCTGAAGGCCTGGCCTCGGGAGGGGTTGTCCAGGTACCAGTGGTTTTTGTACTTTTCAAACAGCAGCGTGGTCAGCTTGGCTGCAAACTTCTCCATTTTGTGCTTGCTCAGCCTGTCCTCCCTCTTCACCAGCTTTGTGATGAAGAAAACCGTGGCAGCAATTTCATCTTTCATCTTCAGTTGGAGCACAGGAGGTGCTGGAAAGCCACAGAACAGAAATTTAATAACATTAAGGCACGAGCAGCTTCCAAAAACTGATGCTGCAAAATCCACGCAAGCCAGGGTGGAAAGAGCCTGGAGAAGCCTGACTGCCAAACTGCAGATTAAATTTAGTTTGGGATATTAAAACCAATTTATTTTGGGATATTAAAACCCATTTAATGCATTGCTAGAAGGTAGCTGCACTCAGCAAGTTAAGAGAGAATATTTTAAAAAAGAGTTTAAGATATAATAGTTCTTATTTATCATGTATATTACAAGCAGCAGAGCTTACAAATAGAGAGCTTTTTATGTTAAAAAAGACCAAAAAGTCACCTTTTCACAGCAGAGACAGTAAAAACTTGAGATAAACTTCACAAACACCTTAAAGAGGCACCAAGAAATCAGCTAAAACCCCCCAGGGCCCTGGAGCACTGGCACAGGAGCCACCCCAGCACCCAAAACTCCCTCCCTCCTTCCCTGGCAGGGCTGGGGCAGGTTTTTATGGAACAGGAATCATGTGGAGCCGAGCAATGTGAGAATCTTCAGGTGGGCAGCAGCTGCAGCTGTGGGTTGGGTTAATTGAGAACCTGTTCCAGAACATTCCTCGGCTTCATTCCTGCACCAGCTCCTTCCCTTAGGGTGATTTAACTGATTCCAGGCTGAATTCTGCTGTGTCCATCAGTCTACCCCATAAATCCCTGTGGAATATTTAATATTCACACAAAAAAACCAGCACCAGGCTTATTAATTAATGATTAAAATGGTGCTGGACTGCTTCTATTTTTTTCCTTTTCCTGCTTCCTTTTTTTTTCCTTTTTCTTTTATTTTTTCTACTATTTTCCACATGAAACCCTCACATTTGGCGTCCCTTATTTAGAAAACTGCTTGATTCTGGATTTATCACATCGCTGATCTTCCTAATTCCCATTATCAGCACAGATTTATGTCATTTTTCAGGCATTTAAAACACAGAAAATGTCTCAGTTCCTCAAATGTTTGGCACAGAGAACAGCTGATTGTTCCTTTTTTTCCCTTTTTGCTGCCTCAGGAAGTTGTGTCTGCAGTGTGAGACCCCAGGAGCTGCAGAGGCAAAAGAAAAAATGAAAGTGAAAAGAGCTGAGTGCTCAAAAGTGGCTCCTGAGGGGGCTGGGGATGGTGCAGCCCCCCAGTTCCAGGGCTCACACCTCGGCCTGGGGTGGTGCCAGGCAGGGGATGAGAAATTCAGAGCCCGAAGGCACAAATTGTGTCCCCAAACCACAAATTTCTGGCTGTTTCAGGATTTCATTTCTCTCCACTCACACAGCTCCTTCCTCGCTCTTTAATTTTGTTCTGCATTACACAGAAAAAAAAAAATTTAAAATATTTTAAAATATTTTTTAAAAAAACAAGACCAAGGCTTTCAGAAAAAAAATTCTGCTTTTGAGGAATGAGTAATAAACCACAAACAGCCCCAAATTCCTTCTCTCCTTTGTCTCATTTATCCAAACACCTCCTCAGCCAGTGGGGACCTTTCCCTTTCCACAACCACCCAAAAAACCAGAAACCAGAGACTGAGGCAGAGAAGGGACCCTCAGAAAAAACTTTTTTTTTTTTTTTTTTCAGACACAGAACCCCCAATTTTGTGACCCCACTTTGTACTCCTGGGATGATTTTATTCCCTGAATCATTCCTTCCTTTTCCCTGGAGTGCCGAGGGCAGGGCCAGCCTGCTCTGGGCTTTTTTGGGGAATGCTGGAGGACAACAGGAAGCTGCTGCTGGGAAGAATTTCCACCCAACATTCTCTGGCCTCTGTGCGAGTGCAGCCTGTGCAGATCTGACTCTGTCTGCATCCAGAATTAACTCTGGAGCATTCTTGGACAGCCAAACTGGCTCTTCGTGCCTGAGGGCTGAGTTTTGCTCTGGAGGTTAAACTTCCTTTCAAAAGGTCATTTTAACTGAGTGGATTCCCTGCAGCCACATCAGTTTTTTTATGTTTTTAAAACTCCATTCCATGGTGAGATGTCAAAATAAAAAAAAACCCAAAATAAAAGCTCTTAAAAAACTTGAAAGTTCTGATCACATTGATTTCACTGCAGCGTGGCTGGACTGCAGGACAAGCAGGTGTTACAAAAAACTCAGGGCAGCCACCACAGGTCTGTGGGTTTTTAACTGAGCTGACAAAATTGGTGTCCAGGGAAATGTCAAAGAGAAAGATTTGCCACTTAAAAATGATGGGTGACGCACATAATTATGATTTTTTAAGGTCTTCTCAGTAAATTTAGTCCACTCTGGGTTTTCTAGACAATCCCAGACACACAGGCTGGGATTCCTGTAGGGATGATTTTGCCTTTCTGACCAAAATCTGGGTATTAAGTCTGATTTATTTGATTTCACACAATTTTTCCTCAATTTTGGATATTGTAACCTAATAAAAACCATGACCTCTTCCTCTCAACTTTGATTTTCTTTAATTCTCGAGCTACCCAACGCATTCCCACTGCAAACCAGCAGCAGCCAGGGTGGGGAGTGCACAGTTTGCTCACCATGCCTGACCCTGCCACATTTCAGCCCCGGGAATTCCCCGGGGACCCTCCTGTCCCAAATGCCAGGGGGTTGGGGTCACACAGAGACACGGGACGGGGTTTTGAGGCATCTCCTGCTCCATCTCCTCATCTCCTGTGAGTGGGGAAATTCTGTGATAGAGGCCTGGAATCCACAAGGGACATCAGAGGGAAGCCTGGATCCTGTATTTCAGTCTTTAACTCTGAATTTCCCACCCTGTGCTATCACACACTTCTAACCAAACTCCACACCCGCAATCCCAGTGCTGTCCATCAATTTTGGAAGCCTTCTCCACGGCCTCACGTCAAATGCAGTGTTCTCTTGAGGCTGTGGAGGAGGCTTCCAAAATGATATCCTTTCAGCACAGGAAGTCTAAAATCCTCAGCCTGGGCTCCACCAGGATCCTTCCTCCTCCTCCTCCTCCTCCTCCTGTTGGGCTCCTCGTTCCCATGGCCAGCGCAGGAGCTGCAGGTGAGCAGCAAACAAAGCCCTCACCTGAGAAACCAGCCAGGAACTGAGGGCATAAATCTTGGAGGATGACGGGCAGGAGGTCAAATTCTACACATTCCAAACAACAAAATTGTTTTAAATTTAGTGGGAATTTAGGCAAAGTTCTCAGCAATTCACCGAGCTGGCTCTGATTGTTCAAATTCTGGTTGAAATGGGGATTCAGAGAACTTTTAAACTTGGTGGTTTTGATGCCATGCAGGAGCTGAAGCATTTTTTCCCCGTTAATATCACAGAAAGCAGAAGAGCAGAGGGTGATGCTGGCTCCCCACCGCAGCGACAAGGAAAACTGGCTCATTAATTAGGGACATTAATCAGGCTCCAATCCTTCCCAGAGCTGTCAGCTGTCACTGGCTGGAAGAAAACACAGCCCTGGGTGCCCTGTTTGGGTAAAAACTGCTGAGGGAGAGAATGCCTGAACCAAAAGTGGCACAGCCACCAAATTGTGCTCCCACTCCTCCCCAGCTGCACCCAAACAGGATCTGCTCCCATCCCAGCAGATTTAGAAAAACCAGCATGGACAGCCAAGTGTTCTGACTGAGAGGAGGCAGGAGATAAACGAGGAGATGTTTGTGCCTTTTGGAACGTGATGCTGCTTTAATCCTTTTTAGGAATTGAAAAAAAAAAAGCCAAACCACTAAAAAACAGAGCCTGGATATCCACGGGGCTGATCCAGAGCTGGCTGGAAGCAGGGAAACGTGCCCAAAGCCTTCAGTGGGACTGAAATGGGCCCCCAGCCGGGCAGGAGCATTCTGAGCCAGATTAAAGGAGCTGTCCCTGGGTCAGCAGGCAAGCCCAGGCTTGAGCCAGGCAGGGACAGACCCAGGGACAGTTTCTGTAGTAACTGCAGCCCAAACCAAGGGCAAACACACTCTGGCAGGAGCCACCCCTGCAGGACTTTTTTTTTTTTTTAAGTTTTCCTGTTTTAAAGGACCAAAATGGAAATAAAGAAGCCAAGTGCAGCTCCCCTCTGCAAGGCATTTGGTTTTTGTGGGTGATGGAAGGCGGGCTGTTCCTCCAGGTAAGCAGCTGCAGTTCGTAGATTTTGATATAAAAATCAGAAAGGCTGAGTGATTTCCAGAGGGAAAAGCATCCTCAGTGACAATCTCCTGAGGGAGAAGCAGCTTGCATTTGTTTGCTCACTGTCCTGGTCACACCCAGAAGCGTCAAATCCATGGACCACTAAATCAGAGGGCGGAAGAAACCTCATACCTGGAGCTTATAAACTTCTACACCTGTACTTAAGCCTGTAAAAAGAATTATTGTGGGCTGGAGTGAACCAGAAGCTGATTCGGATCGCCACCACAAAAATTGTCAGGGTTTGAGTACTCCATATTGGTAGAATTTGATTTAAGATTTAGTGATTTAAGTAATCAAATAAACCTGAAAACCCCAGTGGTGTTGACCCAGGATGTTCTAAAATTAAACAACAAAAGAAAGACTGCAAAGCTACCTGGGTTTACTTTACGGAGCCTGAGAGCTGTTGCCACAACTCTTTAAAATTTCTGGGTTTGCTTCCTCTGTGTGTGTGTGCCATGATTTTCAGGGCTGAACAGATCCAAGAGCAGTGGCTGGGCAGACCCCAAAACCAGGGCACAGCACAGGACACCCACCCCTCTGAGCTGTTTTGGGAATTCCAGCTGGGACTGCCACCAGTGCCACCCTGGGGCCCTTTGGGTGGGAATTCCAAACTCTGGGTGGGAATTCCAAACTCTGGGTGTGTTTCCCGTGTTGACCTTGCCCATGGAAACCTCTCTTGCAACAAAGCTCCCACGGCTGGGGCCACCTGAGCCATCCCCAGGTCCCCCTGGGGGTGGCCATGGTGACAGGAGTACACAAAGCTCCCGGGCTGGGGCTGGCCTGGGGACACTCGGAGCCAGGAGCCCCAGGGGAAAAGATGGGAACAACACGGAGGAAAATACGGGAACATCCCTGGAGGAAAAGATGGGAAGATTCCTGGAGAGAAGATGGGAACATCCTCAGGGAAAAGATGGGAACATCCCAGAGGAAAAGATGGGAACATCCCAGAGGAAAATATGGGAACATTCCTGGAGAGAAGATGGGAGCAACCCAGGAAAAAAGATGGGAACAACCCCAGGGAAAAGGTGGGAACATCCCTGGAGAGAAGATGGAAATATCCCAGGAGAAAAGATGGGAGCAACCCCAGGAGAGAAGATGGGAGCAAACCAGGAGAAAGGATGGGAACATCCCTGAAGAAAAGTTGGGAACATCCCAGAGGAAAAGATGGGAATATCCACAGGAAAGGATGAGAACATCCTAAGAGAAATGATGGGAACATCCCCAGGGAAAAGATGAGAGCAACCCCAGGGAAAAGATTGGAGCAACCTCACAGAAAAGATGGGAGCATCCACTGGAAAAGATACTGGAACATCCCTGGAGAGAAGATGGGAACATCCC